CACACACTCACTCACACACACACACACACACACACACACACACACACACACACACTCAGGCAATAATGCAGCTCTTCTCATATGTCTTTGAGTCTCTTCATCTCATATTGAATCTTCAGACACAGATGATAACAGCAATATTACGGTGCTTGTTGTTTCTGCAGGAGGATCTTCACAGGGTTTCTGTGCTCATTTTGGGAGAAAATCTATCAATCTTTATGAAATTCAGGGCATTTCTGAGAGCCGGTCCGGATCTGTGGTGCTGCTGCTCTTGAATGTCATTTGTGATTGTTTGTTTATGTGTTCGATTCCCTTTACCCGTCTTTCCGTTCATTATTAATGCGGTCATGATGATGTGATTTGCATTGATTGATTGTTGATCGATGTGCGCTTCTTCCTGTTCCTCTCAGCGTGGGGCTCCGTTCCAGGTGGCTTTGCAGGATGACCACCGGATGCTGCTGTCGCTGGACGCTGATGACGTGAGGCCTGAGGCATCCGTGTATTCGGTGCGTGTTTCCGGAGAGCCGCACACACACACGCTGCTGTTCACGCGACCCGCCGACGGTCAGACGCTGCCGCATCCGCTCCAGTTCAACGCCTCATACCACGGCCTGTGTTACTCCATCAGTCTGATGCTCGGGAACGACAGCAGCGCATCCAGAGCCGTCAGAACCGTCCCTGTGCTCACCAGTAAGACAGTCAGACATCTGCTACACATGTGTGAAATTAATGCATCAAAATATAAAACATTTATAATGAAAGATATTAAAAATAAATAAATAAATTAGATTAAATAGGCAGTAGTCATTAATTAATCTAATTAAAACATTTATAAATAAATTATTAAATTAAAATAATTAATTAATTAAAATAGGCAGTAGTAAATAATAAAAATAAAACATTTATAGATAAATTAATAAAAATAATAAATGAAAATAGGCAGGAATAATTAATAAATAAAAATAAAGTATTAAAAAATTGAATAATAAAAATGAAAAAAATATTAAATTGAAATAATAAATAAAATAAAACATTTATAAATACATTATTAAATAAAAATAGTAAATTAAAAAAGGCAGGAATAATTAATAAAATGAAAATGAAGTATTGATAAATTAATTAATAAAAAATTAATTTAAATAAGCATAAATAATAAATCAAATAAAACATTTATAAATACATTATGAAATAAAAATAATAAATTAAAATAGGCAAGAAGATAATAATAAATGAAAATAAAATATTACACTAATAAAAAATGTAAATAGGCAGTAGTACGTTATGAACAACACGTTTAAATAAATAAATAGAAATAATTAATACATGAAAATAAATTAATACATTAAATATAATAAATAATAAAACAGTTTGCAGTAATAAATAATTTATAAAAAATAAAATATGTATAAATTACTTAATAAATAAAAAAAGCATTTCATATTTAAAAATTAGCATAAGATTTAATTAATCAATTAATTTTAAAAAGTTAAATTCCAAGCAAGAATCAGCTATGTTGTGATACTGTTACTATGGTATAAAATGACTTACATCATGGTATAGTAGTGTTTTAGTCAGACTGTCCACTTTTATTTTAAACAATTATGTTTTCGGTAACAGTTTTAAGTCAGAACAGAGTGCCTTTAACCTCGTTACAACAAAATGCCATTGATTTTTCAGTCTCCTGTTTCTCCAGTGTGATATGTCAGTGAACTGTGTATGTGTGTGTGTGTGTGTGTGTGTGTGTGTGTGTGTTTTCAGAGCCTCTTCCTCTAGACAGCATTGAGATGTCTGATTACAGTCCGGCTCCAGAGACCGGCGTGATGTTTCAGATCCGTTCTCCCGACAGGAACATCTACACGAGAGTAAACATCAGCTACATGGAGGGCCGACAGCCACGCTACATGCTGTATAAAGGTGCCATTTGTTATGTGTGTGTTACGTGTTTGTGCTTCTGCGTGTGATATGCCTGTGTATTTTTATGTGTTACATTTGTGTGTTTCTGCGTGTTATGTGTGTTTCTGCATGTGTTTCTGTTACATGTTTGTTTCTGCGTGTTATGTGTGCTACGCATCTGTGTTTCTATGTGTGTTACACGTTTGTTACATGTGCATTTCTGTGTTTTACACGCGTTACGCATGTGTGTTTCTGTGTGTCTTTCTGTGCGTGTTACGCATGTGTGTTACGCATGTGTGTGTGTGTGTGTTTTTTTTTCTGTGTGTGTTACGCATGTGTGTTTCTGTGTGTGTTACGCATGTGTGTTTCTGTGTTACGCGTGTGTGTTTCTGTGTGTGTTACGCATGTGTGTTTCTGTGTGTTACGCATGTGTGTTACACATGTGTGTTACGCATGTGTGTTTCTGTTCGTGTTACGCATGTGTGTGTTTCTGTGCGTGTTACGCATTTGTGTTTCTGTGCGTGTTACGCATGTGTGTTTCTGTGTGTGTTACGCATGTGTGTTTCTGTGTGTTACGCATGTGTGTGTTTCTGTGCGTGTTACGCATGTGTGTTTCTGTGCATGTTATGCATGTGTGTTTCTGCGTGTTACGCGCTTGTGTTTCTGTGTGTGTACACATTTGTGTTAACTGTGTGTTTCTGTGTATTGCACACGTTACGTGTTTCTGTGTATTACGTGCATTATGCATGTGTGTTTCTATGTGTGTGTGTGTGTAACGTGTGTGTGTTTCTGTGTGTTACGCATTTGTGTTTATGTGTTGTGTGTTACGCATGTGTGTTTCTGTTCGTGTTACGCATGTGTGTGTTTCTGTGCGTGTTACGCATGTGTGTTTCTGTGCATGTTATGCATGTGTGTTTCTGCGTGTTACGCGCTTGTGTACACATTTGTGTTAACTGTGTGTTTCTGTGTATTGCACACGTTACGTGTTTCTGTGTATTACGTGCATTATGCATGTGTGTTTCTATGTGTGTGTGTGTGTAACGTGTGTGTGTTTCTGTGTGTTACGCATTTGTGTTTATGTGTGTGTTGCACATTTGTGTTACATGTGTGTTTCTGTGTATTATGGGTGTTATGCATGTGTGTTTCTTTGTGTGTTATGCGTGTGTGTTATGTGTGTGTTTCCGTTTGTTACGCGTGTGTTTCTGCACATTTTGTGTGTTACACGTGTGTTTCTGTGTATTACGCGCATTATGCATGTGTGTTTCTGCATGTGTTACATGTTTGTGTTACACATGTGTTTCTGTGTTTTACGCGTGTTATGCATGTGTGTTTATATGTGTTACGTGTGTGTGTGTTTCTGCATGTTACGCGTTTGTGTTTCTGTGTGTGTGTGTGTGTGTCACATGTTTGTGTTACATGTGTGTGTCTGTGTATTACGCATGTTATGCATGTGTGTTTCTATGTGTTGTGTGTTTCTGTGTGTTACACGTTTGTTACATGTGTGTTTCTGTGTGTTATGTGCGTTTCTGTGTATTACACGCGTTACGTGTGTTTCTGTGTGTTACACATGTGTTACGTGTGTGTGTGTTTGTCACAGCTGAACTTGGACTCTCTCTCTGTGTCTCTGCAGATTTCCTCAAAGGGAAGACGGTGTTCAAGCACTGGCTGTCGGGCACGTGTTACACCAACATCAGCTTCCAGCTGGTCTCAGAGGCCACAGTCAACAGGAGCACGCTGGTGAGCCACAGCGACGTTACCCATGAGCCCCTGCGCCACCGCACCGGTACGAATCCTTCAGTTAGCCATCATAAGCTCTAAATTCACCTTTAAATGACCTTTAATTAGTGCTGGAACAACTGAACGATGTTAGAGCTGGAGCAGGCAGTGCACAAACCTCATTAATTGCTGATGGAAACCTTCTGGATTCACTTTATAAATTAAACCTGTCAGCAATTTGAGTGCAATTTTTAGGATCATTTATATTTTTACCAATTATTTTAATGAGTTTTTTTTACCTATTATTTTAATTACATATTTTTTACGGCCCACGCTCTCATTATGGTAAAAAAACTTTAAAATAATTACAAAAATGTTTAAAATAATTAAATTACATAATAATAATTAAACTAAAATGTAAAATTATATTTTATGTTATGGTAATATTTCATGTATGTATATCGATTTAAGCTCATTTTAATAAATAAATTAATAAATCAATAATCAATTAAATAAATGACTAGAATAACTGTTGAAAATAATGGCAATTACAAAAAAATTCTAAAGTAAAATGTGCATAATTGTCATTAAAAATAATATTTTGTTTAAATTAGTATTTTATGTCATGGTAACAGTTTTTGTACTGCTTTTGATTTAAGCTGCATTTAATAAATAAATTGATAAATTAAATAAATTACTACTTTAGAATCACTGTTAAAAAAACTCAACAGTAAAATGTGCTTAAATGTCAGAAAAATAATAATCTGAAAACTTGTATAGGAAATGTATTTTCACCTTGTTTCTTCAATAATTAAAATTAGTTAATGGGATTATTTGTTCTTTAAAGGCACAATATGTAAGGTTTTCATAATTAAATATCTAAAAACGACTTGCACAGTGTGATATATTTCATGCAGTTGTGTACTTATGTTATCCCAAAAGTTTTTAATGCATTTTTACAGTGTTGATTGAATTCAGCTCTCACGCGAATTCTCTCATCATAAACAACAAAGTGCCTATGTACGTATGATGTAAGAGATTCATCAAACCGTGTATAGACAGCTTTACTGATTATAAATGGTGTTTGTTTTGTTTTAATTTCTCATGTCCAGTCCCGAATCCTCCTCTCAACGTGTCGCTCAAAATCATCCACCTCAGCGGCCGAGGAGCGTCCCACAATGCATCAGTCTTCCGGCGGGCACGTGACGTCCCTGCGGCTGAAGAACAGGAAGAGGAAGTGAACGGTGTGGAGATGAGCGTCACGCAGACGCCACTAAACAACGTCACCGTTTATAGCACCACAGCCGAACCCAACAGCACTGAGCTGCTGTGGGCGGAGCCGACAGGAAGCCCCGCCCCCACCGAGGAGCAGGAGGAGGAGTTTGTGAACGCGCTGGTGCCAGAATATGAGGACTCTAATGAGCCGGGGTCAGCGATGGATGTGACCTTTGAACCCAGTGTGATGCCCAAGCCACTGCCGCCCATCCTGCTGGAGCTGCGCTGGTTACCGCCGCGGCCGCCCGCCGCTTACGACGGATTCAACATCTACATCCACCGCGACGGTGAGAATCATCGCGTTTTTTACGCAGCAAAAAACCTGATGTTTGTGTAAACCCTCTTTATAGTCATTTCTGTGTTTATTTCCTTGTTGTTTGAGCAGGAAACTCCACCAAAACAGTCAGCGTTGATGTGAAATAAGGCAGCAAAAATTCATAAATTGAATAAAACATTTATAAATACAATAATAAATGAAGTAAAATAGGGAGTAATCATTAATAAATAAAAATAAAGTTTAAATAAATTAATAAAAATAATAAATGAATTGAAATAGGCAAATGAGACAAATGAGAGGTTAGGCAGTAATAATAAATCGAAATAAGATGGTTATAAATTAATAGGAATGTAACGATAAACTGCGAGCCAGCTGAAGTCAATTCAAATATGTGACGATTCAAATCGGTTGAGATGCCAAACTAATCGCGATACTATTAGAGTAGGAGTTTATATGACTGTATCTCCGAGGGGAAATGACTGTCTTTAGAAAAGTTTAGATGGTATTTTCTTTTCATCTTGCCTCTGAACGATGCATATTAAAGTAGTGTTCATAAGCGCAGCTCTGCTTTGTTTACAGCGGTAAGCAAGGAAACACTGTATCATCAGAATCAGAATGAGCTTTATTGCCAGGTATGTTTACACATACGAGGAATTTGTTTTCATGACAGAAGCTCCACAGTGTAACAGAATGACAGCGACAGAACAAAAACACAGTGAATAAATAGTGTCGTGTGTTCCACAGTTATTGTCAGGTGTTCATGAGATGGATTGCCTGAGGGAAGAAACTGTTCCTGTGTCTGGTCGTTCTGGTGCTCAGAGCTCTGTAGCGTCGACCAGATGGCAACAGTTCAAAGAGGGAGTGTGCTGGATGTGAGGGGTCCAGAGTGATTCTGCCAGCCCTTTTGCTCACTCTG